CCTGCATTTTTCCCATAATAGCTTCAAATAACTTATATTAAAATCGAATATTATTGAATGCTGAATTCAAACATTAAACAATATTAATCTTCAAAAATGTAGAAATTATAGAACTTACGATCCTAGCTTTTGTTGCATTCCAAATTCAATAATATCAATAGATATACGCTGACTAGCATAACCAATAAATCGGTAAGCGCACACTAGACCGGGTGGGTGAATGCCGGGATGCGCAGGTGAAAGAAACTCCCCAGAAACGGTTCCTGGTGCTATCCAGTTACTGTTACTGTCACTACGTGGTCCATTTTGATGACTGCTGTCGGCAACTGAGCCAGGTAGCTCATGTGAATCTGCATATGATGCAGTGCTCTGAAAATGAGTTGGAGTAATGCCGTCGTCGGGACCAATCAAAAATCGGCACGCAGGAGAAAGTGGCGCATCAATTGGTACAGGAAGGTTGCTATCCTTTAATGCTAGGCCTGGATAATAGAGATCTGTAGAGTTCGGCAGAAAAAATCGGATTAGCTACTAAAAGTATTTAGTTCCACTGATACTAATATTTTTATATCTTATAATACGACATATTTCTGTAAATTAGTTATTTGATTAATCGACGCAACCGTTTAACCGAAATAAATCTTATCAAGCAAACCAAAATCAATAAACGTAAAAGTATCTTCTCTACTTATTTAGGAGAGGTAAAAACTATGTCCCATGATATTAACCCATCTTAAATGCCACATAATAATTTGACGTTGCCCGAGAGAATTTCTTTACTTGACCAAAGCAAACTCTTACTGGTTAACACCACTCATTTTCCGATGGCGGTGGTGGCTATAATATCGAAATTTACAATCGCATCTTAGATATACCAGCAAGCCAAATTACAGTGAGAATAAGCATAATGCCAGGTGATTAATATGTTAGTTAGAAAGTGTGGACAACATATGAACATTTTAGAAAATGGCTAATAATTTGGCGCCTGGAATTACATTCGTAAAACAATTGAAGATAACTACCATCTTTAGATCCAAGAGAGTGAGAGCAAAGGTTAAATTAGCAAAAGATAACTTGTTTGCTGGAGGTAAAGGATGATAAATAAACAGTATGATCATTCAAAAGTAATCTTACCCCCTATGAATTTAAGCTTGCAGACTTGTATCTGGTAGGTAGGAACCTAACTAAATCC